CATGTAGGGGGCCCACTCCAAGAGATTCAAAGAGATGGCATTCTCTTTATCATTTCCCCTATTCCCATGGCCTGGACTTCTACTTCTACTCATGTCCTATAGCACCTTCCATCTTGATTCATGATGCTTTGATTCTATGCTCTCCTCCTCATCCCTTATGCCATATTTTAGTGCCTACTCTTTTGTCATTTATCATTTAATCTATTTTTAGGATAATGTGGAATTATGAATCTTAACTTAAAGCCTCTCTTATGAATGATAATGAGGACAAAAGTCTTCTATGAAACTTTGCCAAAAATGTGTTGCTGAGTGAGATGGAGCACTGTGGAGACCACCCAGAAGTTTCAACTGGTACATGGTGAAGCAGCTCATATGCACAAAGGCAAGGCCACATGGAGCATGTAAGACCTGGACTCCATAATGTGTGCTTCTAAAGGAAGGGTGGGGGGAGGGGAAGACTTTTGCAATCCGGGAGGGCATAAAGAGTTGGGTTTGGGTTTCCTTGGTGATGTTTCTTTTTCTTCTTCTTTACTGTGAAGTTTGTGAGGTAAGTCAGACTGCTATTAATAAACCCCAAGGAGTCTATCAAATTTTCAAATTTTGTGTCCACCTCATCTTTGGCAGGATGGTTGATGTTTAATATTTTAAAAAAATAATAATAGCTACATACTAGGTGTAGTAGAAATAACTATAGGATCATTGTTATTACATAGGGGATCTTTGGTCAGATTTTTTTCTGGGATGAGTCTAGAAATTTGCTTGAAGTCCACACTTTCTGACTTTTAAGGTAGAATGCAAGGCCCATCTGTCCAACTAGACATTTGCCCGATGAGGCCGAAGAGGTTTTGGCAAGTGTAAATGAGAATTGAAATGCCAGATATGAGATGCTTAAATGTGAATTTATTTTAAATAATTGGAGCCAGGGATGCTAAGTCTAAAGATAAATTTTAGAAATAAAAATGGTTAGAAACTGCTCTTTATTTTTAAGGAAGCGGGATATGGATATGGAAAGGGAAAAAAAAGGACCCACTAAAACTTTTCCTTGATATTATTTCTGTTGTAATTCTTGCTATGAAAGAGTGCACAGTGCTGAAGTAAATGCTTCTGAAAGACTCATTATGAAATACTGGAAAGCAAAGTAGACTATACTAAAATCGTATGATATAGTGCTAACCAGAAGGAGAATAATACATAAATGTTTTCTTGATGATGTGTGCTAAAGCAAAAGGCATTTAGGAGCAGGGTTGTCAATCTCTGAGGGTTCTGAAAAGAATTGCTATTTATGACGTGTTAGAGTAAACAGTTGGATTACATTTCTGAAATGCATGTTCCATCAGGTAAAATCATTGTGATTACAGACACTAGTACTGTAAGTAAGTAAGTTATGTGCTAAAAGGTTGAAATTGTAAAACAAGTATGCTTGTGCTTAACTGCTAATCCCTCTTTGTATCTACACTGAATAAACTACAAGAAAAGGGGGAAAAGGGACATTTAAATAATAAGGCAGGAAAGGCATGTTATGTCATATTGATAAATAATGGGCTTTATCCACCATAAGGAATCATTCTAACAGTGGCCTATCCAATAAAGATTATCCCAGAGTTAAAGGAAATAGGAAGGATTATAAAGAAGTTATTTCTGCTTCTCCCAGTTTAAGTAGATCGGTGTTTCTTTTGTTTGCTTTTAGATTTTCCTTAATTTCTGCTTTATTTTCTGGCCTGTCACAGAAAAAGCACAAGTTGGCATTTTAACCACTGTACAGAAATAAATTTCAAATAAAACCAAAATAAAAGAATGACTTTTAAGTGCTTTGCATTTGTTTGACAACAGAAGATAATAAATGTAAATAAGCCTTTAATATTCCCTTAATCCAGTTTGTGCTATGCAAATGTCAAGACAATATATTTATAAAAAACAAATCAACAAATATTTGAAGAAAAACAATATACACAACTTATTTTATATATTGAAAACAACTGTCAAACAATTATGACCTCATGTATTAGTTGGTTGTTTTGAAATATTCCTACTAGGATAAAAAAAGGGCTAGGAGGGCCTTTGAGCTTGAACATATTGTGTCAATCATGAGCATATGCAACGTATCTAAAGCATGAGGTAAAAATTTTCTTCATAAATTATTTCATAAATAAATAAGTAATTTGCCTGAAAAGGTTTATGAAAATATTTTGTGCTTTTATTAGGTTCTCTACAGATCTTTTGTGGTCAATGTAAATGGATTGATATTGACATCATCTTGATCTGCTTTACTTTAACTTGAAATATAGAAAGAAAGCAACTTGCAGAGATTTTTCTTTTTTTTTTTTTTAGGGAAATATTAGTAACATCGAGTTTATGAAACAGTATTTATTAAAGCTTCAATTTTTAGTGATCATGAACAGCACTGATGGGTGTTAGTACCTGAAGTGTCATTTCAGCCTTTCATTTAAGGGATATAATTGACCCTTAGACAATTGGTCTTGGCTTTTTGTATGATATATAATTTAGGGTGCACTTGTTGGTAGGGTTTTACATTATTGCAGGTAGAAAAATGCAGGTCATTTCAAAGCTTTTGTCTTTTTGAAGGCATGTAATTTAATTTTGCCAATTTATTTAATCATTGAGTATTTACTATAAATAAGATTTGTACTCTTACAAGTTAAGTAGGAAATAAGGAGAACTAAGAAAAAGCTCACTTACCTCCTTTAAAATTTCTTCTACCAATACAGTATATCTGTGGAGGATTTTTTTTTTTGAAGGAACAGAGAGGAGGGTATAAGAAGACAGCTCTTGTTATATATTTACTGTTTAAACCTTGCTCTTAAGATACTCTAGCCTCAGATAATATTGTTCATACTACAGTTTCAGTCATTTTCAGTATTTTAACCCTTTTGCACACAAACATTTTTGGGGGGTAGCCTTGTAATTATCAGAAACATAATTTAAAGTCTCTGTTACCTCGTATTTATATGGTAGACACACTCCATAAATCAAACTTTTAAGTGTATCAATGCAAATGCATGTCTTACTCCAATCTTTCTTTTTGGATACAGTTCTTCTTGAGGTGCCACACATTTCCATATAGGTCAACAATTTCATTTGTAGCTTTAAAAAAAAAAGGTCTATTTTAAAAATATGAATGTCTTTTACTGTGGAAATTGGTGGTTGACAATATTAAATGACTCCAGTGTATAAGTATGCAGATGGCTATTAGTAGCTGACTGTAAGATTTACTGAAGATTTTGATATTAATTTTCCCTTCATGCTGGACTTTATATTATATATTGTATAAATGTAACTCTGTTCCAAAATTAATTTCAATTGATGATAATATATGAGTAGTTCTATGCATGTAAGAGGTTAGTGTTCTTATCCCACCTTCAGGGAATATATTGTGTGCCTCATTGTGAAATTGTATTTTGACTACCCCTTTCACTTGACAAGTTTCTCTATTCCAAATGAATTATTGCCCCTTTACCCATAAAGAGTGTAATAGACACCTTACAAAAATACTTAGGGGATAAATGTGTACTAAAAAGGAATCGCATAACAAATCTGCCTGTCTAGGTATGCAATAAACACAAATGGAGACCATACAGGAATAGGATGATGACTCTAAAAGACATATGGTTCAGTTTTCTAATTTATATTTGATTTGCTTTTTCATCTCAGAAGATAGTCTATATCACAAAATATGTTTAACATATTCCTTGTAAAGAAGGAGGAAAGAACCATTTTCTGGGGAAAATATTTTTTGAGGAAATTACTTCATCTTTACCTAACATTTTCATGATTTTGCCTTTTTAATTTCTATTTTAAATCATCTCATAATTTTAATAAGCTGCTTCTCCATTTAGAACAAAATTAGTTCAAAATGACTTGTACAGAGGAAAAACATGTCACTTAAAGTCACCCAAGTGAGAAAAAATTATATCCAAATGCCCAATAAATGTTTACTTATTTTTTAATACCTACTATGGTTTGAATATTCATGGTAATTTTTTACACACTGATGAGGTTTAGAGGTGAAAAACATCACATTCAGAAACATTGTCGGGGAAATTGATTAGAGACAATGAGGGTTCTCAAATAAAAATGTGAAATATATTTTTTAAAGTCTTTAAAAGGTCTATTCATGGCTCCTCATCTGATAATAGAGAAATCAAACAATAACTATTCATCTCTACTAATACTGGAAAGACATTCCAATTTTATTTGCTTGTTGGAATCCCTGAACTTATCCCAGAGAGGTATCCTCAGATCAGAAAACTCCAGTAACATCCCTCTGCACTTTTCCAACGTAGCAAAAAGTTCAAGTTGTTCTGTCCCAGCTCTCTTGTAATAAAATGCAAAGAAAACACTAACCACCAAGGAGGTGGCCTTAGACTCCTTTATCTCTCTCTTTCTCAAACACAGATACACAGGCATAAATCCTGTGTAGTTTTAATAAAGGAGTAGGAGAAGAAAGAAAGTAAATAAAGTAAGATAAAAATTTTAAAAGACTTAACTTTCATAGAACTCCTCCCCTCCTTTTAAATCATAGCATCAGTCTCGGGGTCCTTTCTTGACATTAGTTCAGTCACCCCCATCCCCCCTTTCCTTGTCCTCCCTTTAAGGTAAGTACTTGATGGCTTGGCATAGTTCCCATAAAACTTTCAGAATGACCCCCCCTTCCTCCTAACTACCATAGAGATATAGATACACTGGGAGGGGCGAGGGTGCAGAGTGAGGCTGGCCAGGTTTTTAGATAGGATTGTGTAAAATATCACGGTAAGAAAGCCCGGGTGTGTGTATGTGAGTGTGGGGGGAGGGGGGTGGCTTCCCTTTCGGATGTTCCACTACAGTGGAGCTCTTTCAAACTCGTAATAATTGTCTGCTCCAAAGCCGTCCTTTCCCCCTTGGCGGCTGCAGCGGATGCTGCCTTGGGCTCAGGAGGAGGAGTTGCAGGAGGCGGCAGCGGCGGCGGCGGCGGCGGCGGCGGCGGGGACGGCGGTACTGTCTCTTTAAGGGAGCTCAGGCTGGGGTGGCGCTTTCCTCTGCGAAGGCTCCTTTGATATTAATAGTGTTGGTGTCTTGAAACTGACGTAATGCTCGAGGTCCTGACAAGCGATAACATTTCTGATAAAGAACTGATCTCACTGCAATCTAAAGCCTCTTCTTTTTTGGTGCTTGTTGTTGCTCCAGACCCTGGGTTTTCGCTTTTTTTTTTCTTCTTTAAAACAGAAAAGCAAAAAAAAAAACAAAACCCAAAAACCCACATCAGGCACATCCTAGATCTATTTCCTTTCTCTTTCTCTCTCTCTCTTTAAAAGAGGGGGGGGGGGGAAAGGAGAGGGGGGGGGGCAGGAAAAACCTTTTTTTCTCCCCCCCTCCACACCGCCCCCCCCCACCCCCGCGAATAATCCAAGATCAACTCTGCAAACAACAGAAGACGGTTCATGGCTCTAGCCACCGCTCCACCATCTTTCGGGCTGCTGAGGTTATTATTGCCGATTAATCAACAGGTAAGGAGGAGGGGAAAAAAAGGCAAAGAGGGAGAGAGAGAGAGATCAGCAGGAGGAAAAAGAAAGGCATGGGGGTGATCAGCTTTTCTTTCTCGCTACGTAAGATAATATTGCGCACGTTGAGTGTGGCCATGCTAAAGTGTTCTCTGTGTGTGCGAAATGTGGGTGAGCTGAGAGAGGAGGATTGGGAATTAAAAGTGACTTTCTTTGCAAAAAGGAGAGAGAGAGAGAGAGTAAAAAGCAAAGCAGAGAGGGTTCTCGGATTTCACATGCATTTTTTTATGCGTGTGTGTTTTCTTTCTTTTTTTTTCCCCTTTCTTTTCTTTTCTTCTCCCCCCACCCCCCGGTTTTGGTGGGTCAAAGGCATGTGAGCCCTGGAAATTGGCGACTTCAAACTGCAGTAGCCCCTGGAGTCAGGAGGGTCAAGTTCAGCTGCTGAGGAGGAGGAAAAACAAATCCCCATTTGCCAAAAAAGAAGTTTCAGGGCTGATGTCCCCCCCACCCCCTCCCTTTTCCCCCGTTCCCCTCTCCCCCTCGTCTCTTTCTTTCTGATTTTAATTCCCTACCATCGGGCAAAGTAGGAGAGCAGGAGGAGGTTGCAACTGAGGAGCTGCTGCAGTCATAGCCCAGGCTGCTGCTGCTGCTGCTGCTGCTGCTGCTGCTGCTGCTGCTGCTGTTGTTACTGCTGCTGCTGCTGCTGCTGCTGGAAGTTTTATGGGAGTCATGACAAGCGGGGCAGAGACTAGAGACCATCATGAAGAGTAGTAAGTTGAGAGAAACTTTTTAGGGTTGGGAAGGAATGAAAGGAGAGAGGGGAAGAGAATGGGGTCCGTTTCCTGGTCCTCTAAATGGCAAGGAGGACCTGATTCTGGGTGGCTTTGAGAAAACTATCAGACCCAGGCATAAAACTTTTTTTTTTCCCCTCTCTCTTTAAAGGCAGAGTTGCAGTGTCCCCACATTCTGGTGTCTCTGCCGGGAGTGGTTTTTAGAGACTTGGGCCAGTTTGCTTTTGCGATTTTCATTTTGTATGACAGGGCTTTGAGAAAGGGACGCTTCTTTAAATGAATGGGGGCTGTGAGAAAGAGGAATACTTCCTATTTAGTCCGTGATGGGAAAGTGTGTTGGGGGTAGTGGTGACAGTGAGGCTAATTATTAAAAGCTACCACAGTAGTTTGAATTTAAGTAGCCCACGGTGGGCTATGCAAGCAATCTCTTAGCCTTCTGAAGCTGGTGCTCTCTGGGCTTTGATGTTGGTCTTGGGAAAGGGGTCTTTGAAGGGCCATGGCAGACACCACTGTGCCTCCAAATATCTTCACTATTCTAGGACCCCACGAGTAATTTGAGGATGGTACCTGGGGTGGTAGTTGTTTGAAGTTGTTTTGTGACTTGGAGAGCTTTTTTGTTAGTACCTGCCTGAGATGGTGGTGTTTGCCCGGGGAAGGCAGTAACTTTTATGGCTTCAGGACTTTAAAGCAATTTATGTTTTTCGGGATTGAGACCGGATCTTCGACTTAGTGAAATTAGGTTCTGCATTCTCCCCCTTCCTCGTTCCCACCCTCATATTTTCAGCTTTCAGGGTATTGATCGCTAGAAAGTTCTGGGCAAGAAAGCTTAAAGATGAAGTAAAATAAAATTTGAATAAGATTGTTTCTTTTCTCTCTTCTTCTACTATTTGATGCTGCTTTTGAAAAATTGGCAGTAAACGTTTAAATGAGGAAATGTGAAGCATAGAGTCAGAAAGAGTTAAGTTATGCAGAAGTTAAGTAGATTTGTTAAACTTTTCTAAATTTACCTGGAAGAGAGAAAAAGAGGTCAGAGAGTTAGAATAAGTACAAAGGGGCAATCCAGATAGGGCCTGCCTGGGACAAAAATCATACAGAAATGATAACCAAAACCCTTCACTTTACTTACTCTGACTGATAAAAAGAATAAGAAAGCAAAAAACCTCTAACTAGTCCATCAGAAATCTCTAGCGATGAAGTGAAAAACCTATGAATTTTGATGGCATCAAATTACTTTCCTGTTGGTTTTAGGAAAAGTTGATCATTTGGAAAAGACTGCCAGTTAGAAATGCAAGGGGGCAAAGGAAAGTAAGGGTGAAAGCCAGTGCTTGACGTGGACGAAATGAGAATGAAAGTTTCTGAACTGCACTCACTGTTTTTGAAGTTCTTACATGATGTGCATTCAACTAGAAAGCTGTCTCAGATATTCCGCCACATTAATGTAAAAAAGCAAACAAACTCCAAAATGGTGAGAATTTTTTTTAATAGTATGCCAGGGCTGTGAATAAATACAGGGCTTGTATGAGAAAATGAAGTATTTCCTGTAAGTTGTCATGCTGACAACACTGTCTGGAAATAATACTAGCATTTTAAAGATTTTATTTTTTACTTTTATGTGAGAGTTTATTAATGACTTGATTTATCCAGCAAGTCAAATCCATTCTTCTTTGAGCTTTTTCTCTTCTCTTCCTCTTCTTTCTTTCTTTCTTTTATAAAGCCCTTCATTGAAAAATCTGCAGTTAATAACGTACAGAGCCATCAGGTTGCTGAAGTTATAGGATTATTTCTGGGTATTATTTATATACAAACAAAACTAGGAGGAAAAATACATACATTATCAAGATTATGACTTACCTCTTTAAATAACAGGCATTCTGAAAATCAGACTAATAGTCTAATAGGAAACTAGTGCTTCATATCTAAGTATTATAGCTTCTATGATATATACAGATGAGTATGTTGTTCATGTACATGTAAATATAACATATCTATATGTACCTCATAAAGGTGTTTGAATTCATTCAAGGCTGATGGGTACAGACAGCACAGTAAGTTTCTCCTCTACCCCCCCCGCCCATTAATATTTGTAACGATTCCTTTAGCTTTTGGACTCTGATGTTTCGGTACTTCTTAAAGTTTTGTCTACCATCTACAACTTTATTTTAAAATATAATCTTAAAACAAAGTGTCATATGCAGCTGTGAGGGCTTAGATTCTTTTAGAACTAAAAGTGTCTAAGATGATTTGGATTGAATGAAGCTTTATTTTTTTATGAATTCAAGATTTTCCTATGTACTAACATAAAAAAAAAAAACCCAATAGGTCAAATTCCAGATAAGTCTATGAATCTTCACTGAATAATATAACTTCTTTCTATATTTTAAGTATTTAATCTTAATATAGTTTGTGTCATACATTACTACTGAATTTTCTGAGTTTATTAATATGTCCATATTATATGTTTACTTTATAAAGACATCACGATAATCCTTAGGGGAAGGGAACGAATGCTTCTATGACAAAAGATGCTTTTTAAAATCTTAGTGTTACAGTCCTGTTTCATTTTTTATGTATGCAAAGGGATAATTCAAAACCTGCAGATTTATATTAAGCCACCCCAACCAACATCTTATCGTCTTTATCTTTATCCAAGTAAATAGACACTGTTGAAAGTTAGGTGTATGATTTTTTTTAAGTAATAGAGGCATGTTGCTGAACCTCAATCTTAATTCCTATTTTGAAATTGGTATTAATGACAGATTTTAAACCTTTTAAAGGTTTAGAAGAATCATTTTGATTTTAAGTTAGTCACTTTTTGATAGTTACACTCATGATGATACTACAACAAAGCTATTGTGTGTAACAACAAGAAATAGAAAAACTTTATAAAAGTTATTAGCAAGTTGCTAAAGTATACACTTAAAGGGAAAGAGAAAAAGCTTGCATATTAGGGATAAGTGATGAACTTGAAATGTAATCACTGACTCACAACTGAAATATATTCTGATTAAGATATTCTTCTAGTGTGTAAAATGAAGCCATTCATTGACAGACTGACAACTTTCCAGTTGCTATTTGCCTTTGCTTGATTTAGTTTCCATAGGACAACCAGTGTGGTAGTCTGGATCTTTTTTGGCAGGCACAGGAAAGTATAAACTCAGAAATTTCTATCTCAAATATTACACCTCACAAGTCAAAATCAGGTTGATAAAAGCAAGCAAGTATTCACAGAAAGTTTTATAGGCTTTTCTTCTGTTGTTAAAACTTCATTTAGTTGTCAGGCAAGACTTCCCCTCTCCCCTTCCTTTTTCAGCTATATTCAAAAATATTAATGATATTGATGATGAATTCTAAATTTTATTTCCCATTCATCCTTCTTATAAATAATAGTCTGTTGATCTTTGGAGAAATTAATTACAGCATTTTTAGACCTGGTCTTAATATTTTTGTATATACATAAGATAAATAAAGTTGTCCTTTGCGATTGTCTTAAAGAAGAAATTAATTCTTCTTTTAATAGTATCATTATAATGGTTTGTGGAATGATAATATCCCTCATAGGATGTTATGAAAAGTTTATTTTAGTTTTGGAAATTAAGAATAGAATGTTTTTCTCACTAAGCACACATAATTCAGATACATATAGAAAGAATTGAAAACCTCTAAAAGTACTATTTGTACCTAAAAAAAGGCCAAAGTTAGCATCACCACTCTCATGCTTGAAAGCTTTAAACTAATTTGCAACTATTGAAAGTTCAACATTTCAATGGGGGGGGGATTTTTTTTTAAATTACACATCATAAAAAGATGTATGTAAGTCAAAACAATAAGCCATTTGTTTATTTGTGTAGAATGCAAATATGGCATTGCTGGAAATATGTTCATATTATTGCTTTAGTAACACTAATATATCCATCCATCGAACTGTCACCCAGCTGAGTTTGAGATCACAGGTGAAGTAAGTAAGTTCCTCTTGGCATACTATATTGTATCACTAAAAGTATGATCTAGTGTAAATTAGGCAGAGTTACTTATGCTAATGGTGGGTCCAGAACTGATTTTGTAGAAATGTCTAGATAAAGAGAATTCATGTGAATTGGCAAGAGTTAGGTAAAGAAATTGATGTGATACCTGCAAATAGTTCTATAGTGAATCCTTTTATTTCAGTCCAGTTTTCATTTTCTAAAGTACAACCCCAAATATCAAAACTCATTTGAACTTATCCATGAATTGGATAAGTTTTGAAAGCATCATTAGGATTTATTTTCTGTTGCAGAAATTGTCATCAAAATATAAATGATCTTTTTCTTTAAAAAAAATCGACAAACTAATCTAAGATAAATTTCTTTCCTAAATAATTTTAATAAAAACTTTTCATTTTTAAAATGTTTCTAACTCTTTAAAAACCTGCAGCAAATGCTTTACAAGTGGCTAGACACCTTCCCTGGTGGTTTAGTTTATACAAGCAGGAAACTTTCTCTCCTACTCTTTCTTTCTCTCTTTCTTGTTTTCTTTAAACCAACTGACGTAATGCCAAACTTTGCTTTAAAAGAACAGACAGAAGTAATTGGTAGCTTTTAACTTTTAATAATGTTCTGGATTGGTTTTAGTGGCCAAAATACCATTTTTTTTAATTCAAGTAAAAACGGGCTTGTGGCCTGAGGAAGAAAGGCTCTGTTGATGCAGTTATTTTTATTCTTGTTTTTCAATCTGTTATTAAAAATCTTTCCTGCTGAGCTCTGCTGGATTTCTCCAATTGCTCTTTGTGATGGCTGGTGCATTTCAGGTTACAGTAACTTAACAGTTTGGGGATTTGGTTTTTTTGGTGGCTATTGGAGTTTCATTCTCTTCTTTTCATTCGGAGAAACCATTTGTTTTGTTTTATTCCAGATAAATAAATTAATGTTAACTCTATTGACAATTCAGTAAGTATATTTCTATAAAGGAATGTTCCACCT